ATGAGGTGTACTTAGGGTCCTTATCTTGTTGGAAATCAAATGACTTTCAGTAGGTGTGTCTAGACCTTTGACTAGTACTGAGTTTATATTGATGCCTGAAACCATGAAATAAAACATCTTAACTGAAAGGTGCTCCCGGTGATGACAGCAAGGAAGCAGAAAATTCTTTCTCGCCCTGACAGAGGCATGTGGTTATGAAACTGAGGGTTTGGGCTGATGTGTGTTCTGGCTGCATTTGGATCCTGCTAATGAGTTTGTTGTATCTTACATGAACCATATAATATCAGGCTTTTCCCGTCTTGATATACCAATAAAATAGCATCAAATGGATGAAAAGTAAATAAATATAGATGCCAATGGCTGAAATCTCAGTTAAATTCTTTAGCATATTTGTTGTTAATGGCAAAAACATGGATGACTTTCATAATGCATAATGCACTGATACTGCATGTGTCAATTAATAAGACATAAATGAATACAAACAAAGGAAATGCAGATACATTCAAATAATACATTTCAGCTGAGAGAGTGCTAATTGCAAGTTCATCAACAATGTATATTTAGTGAAAATGTTGAACAGACTGAGGGATAAAGTATCGTTAGACAAAAACATTGATGTTGCAAAATCCTGCAATTTATGCTCCACCCATCTTTGAAAGAAGCCCTTAGCTGTTGCAACACTGTATAAAAGAAAAGAAAGAAGAGATTCAGGTCTCTGCTCCAGACCCCCCAGTCATACACATGAGCTCTTCATCGAACCTCACAATGCAACCCGATTGCTTTTTTCTGAGGGGTTTGAGCTGATGCTCAGGAGATTTACAGGATTACCACTGGAGGTGTATCCAAAAGGTGGTCAAGATGCAGATTTGGAAATAAAATTAGGGATATTGTTAGACTTAATGCTAATCTGTAGGATTGTGCCAGATGTTTCTTCACTATGATTTAGCTACTGTTCCAGAAGGTGGCATTATGAATCATTATTCTTATCATTAATGATTAATGAAGAAATCTGTGAAGAAACAGGAATCAAGTGAAACGTTGTTGATGCAATGGAGCCAATTTACAGACAATGAGGTAACAACAGGTATTCCCAGATCCAGATGGATAATTATGAATGCATGTCAGCATTTGCCTGTCTCATTTAAATGACCAACCACTTTGAAATATTTCCAACAATCTGAGTGCCTGTATTTTATGTATTTATAGAAATGATTTTCAGGGAGAACCACGTCATCATAAAAACACACATCAGCCCTTTGCTTTATTTCGCATTGGAATGTATATTACTGACACAGCAGCAATCATTCTGTCCCCAACAACGACAAGACGTTTGTGCATAAACAAAGAAGAAACTTCCTGCAATGAAGATGTGCTGTACTCTTCAAGCACGTTGCATTATTTTGTTTTTGCGATCCCAAGAAGGCAAAATTTAGGAGAATTTACATATTTAAATCCATCTCAGACAAACACACGCAGAAACCTTAGTGTAACATACTTCATATAAAGAAGTCATAATGTCTGTCTTTATGTTGCTTTGGCCCTCTCAGTTCAGAACATTTATGATATTTTGGATTTTCTGTAATCTTATACCATGTTCTCTGATTTTACAATACTGAAAAGCAACATGTGACAGTTTTATTGGTCTTAATGTGACTGCTTTGCCGCATGTGATTATAGCAGGCGCTAAATCTCATAAAATCATTAAAACAACGACACCGAAACAATAGCACGTTGTGCTAATGAACTTCTGTGTTTGCGCAATCCCACACACAAATACGCACCCAGCGTCGCTTTCAGAAGATCGCTATGACATGTTAAAATTCTGCTCCCCCAAAGGCTTTGAGGCATTTGTACTCGCCAATGAGCGAATCCCAAGGACAGAGTTTAATGCAGGTTCATCTTGTGTTAGGTCACGCATGCCCCGCTTGGCCCTACTTCAAAGGGAGCAGAAGAAGAAACACAAAGGAAGCTTAAGAAAAGATGCAAGTAAAAACAGTGACAGCTGTGATATCCATCTTTATAAAAACAGCGGGTGTTAGAGGACACAGAGTCTCTCCCAGGCGGTGTTTGTAGTGAACCCCCCCTACTTGCATTACTATAGTCCTTCTCCCACTGTCCTTTATCAAGGCAGCTTGTGTAATAATTAACTCTAACAGAGAACAATAGTCCTAAACCAATACGCTCAATTGGGCTCCCAAATGTTTGACCCCACTCAGCGTTCACACTGCATTATTATACATTGGTCAGATCCTTCAGTAAATCATTGACATAGCCCACCAACCAATATTTTCAATCACCCTGGGAGGAGAATCTGCTCAAGATCTCTACCATGTAGAAATATACATTCTATGAAAAAAAACAACTTACAAACATGAGAGTTAAGGTAACACACAGCTTCTTATCAATTAAAACATTATATACTTTTCTTGCGCATATTCCTGATTTTGTAATGTAGCATCAGAATTTAATGAAAATAAATTCTGATGCTACATTGGTAGCATCAGATTCTTTAAAATGGTATTCTTTAAAAGCTGCTGATCTACGTTGCTCCAGAACTTTATTCCTAAAGTAAATAATTTTGAATATCTTCTTTTGAAAATACCCCTCCTCACCCGTTACACCTTTGTTTTGGAGAGTTATTAAAATGTTAAATATTGTTGTGCTGTTTTGGAGTACACGCCCCCCCCCTTGTCTGTGTGTGTCCCCCCCTAGTTTCATGCCCAATGTTACATTCCTGAGATGTCTCAAGTTTATTGCCTTATCCGAAAACAGTAATTCATGGCCACCCTTCCTCTCTAAAGCCAGGGGTGTTTATGGTCAGGCACACAAATCAGGCAGACACCGAATTACTCAAAATACAAAACTGCACATTTCCTTTAAAAAAAGGAGTATTTTGAAGGGTGGAACTTTCCACACCATCCTATAATAATTGAAAATAATTCAGCTGGGTGAAAATGCCCACTGTCACTGAAAGGTTAAACTGAGATTTCAAATTTAATTTATGCTGTTCTGTGTTTACTTGCAGAGCCAATCCATCTGCAGCTAATTAACACAACAATTAGGTCCAATAATGTTGCATCAGCATCAATACGGCCAGCATGCAATAACCCAGAAGAGAAGAAAAAATCCCTATCTGTGCATTTAGAGTGGCAGGTATAAATATTATACGTGCCACATGAAGTTCTGAATGAATTAACCATGAATCATAAATGTTTCCTGCAATGTCATCAGAGCCATGATCATGTGACAGGCACGTGTCATTACTTTAGATGAAAACCATTTCATGCTTTGATAAATGCATAATTCCACAAACTCAGATAACAGGATTCCCGAGATACGCTACCAGTCACCTGCTCTTTTCTGTCTTCCATCTTCAATAATTTGCCTACTTCACGTTATGAGCAATGCAAATATCTAACCTTAAACTCTCTGTGAGATAATCATAAATAATGAACAATTCAACTGTGAAAGAGAGGTATTACCATGGCAATAAAAATTGGTTAGAAACTATATAAAGAATTCCAGTCCAGTAAGATTTCGACTAAGAACAGTTGTCAATGGAAAAATGTTAAGCACGAGACACAAAGCTCATTCCATGATCTCAATGATTTCTGCTAGTGGGTTCCTTGGCCATGCTGGTAGTCTTCAGTGGCGAAGTCTTAAAAATGGATTAAAGAATACATATACGTACGATTAGGCTGGCAAGAAAGGGCTCGCAGAATAGGATGCCCTTTGAAATGGGCGGTTAGCAGGGGATGTGGAGTGAAACACGGGGTAGAGATAATAGGCTTTAATGGGGTATTCTGATTCACCCGGCTGCCACAAAAGGAGCCCACGCTGGGGATTTGGGAGCAGGGGTGGCGGGGAGTGTTGTTGGTGTTCCCTGCCTCAATGGCGGGGTGAGGCGAGCTGGGGGTGACTGTGAGGGGGGGGGGGGGGGGGCTCCCTTTGTGGAGAGGAATGTCAGGGGGTTTTTGAAAGAGGGAGAGCCAAGGAGCAGGAGTGAAAGGAGGAGGACTCTATCTGAGCGACACTCGAGCTCTGTCCCGCAGAGTGTCTCCGAACACACGCTCACTCCTGGGGCGCAGTCACTGTGCAGTGTGTCATGCCAGTGACAAGTGGGCATAGCAGTGGGTCACCTGCCAGGGCAATCAGACGATGAAGGCTTGGACACCTCTTTTCCCTTTGTTGCCGGTTAAGTCCTTAAAGAGGGGGACAGTCTTTGCAAACCAGATTTTTGGAAGGCTTTACTGATCTTATTAGAAAGCAGGGCTGATGTGTCTGATAGTTAGCAGATATAGATTTTAATATTTCGTTTTAATTGAGAAAATAAACTTGCCTGTAATGTTTAGACAAAATTGACCAGATCGGTTCAAAAACGTCAAAGACTCTCAAATTGGAGATGTATTCGCATATATTTATCGTTTTTTTTTTTTTAAATATCCTATCGGGCTTAATATAAAATTTAAAATGTATTTGATCATATAGCAACATTTTAAACGTGAGGATTCTGGGCCAGTTTCTAAACGACGGTTTAATGGAATGAAAGCTCAATTCAGGGCTATTAAATTGAGACTTTGAGTGGCTCGTAATAACATATGACCCGAGAGTACACGCCTTGTTTGTCCTGCAGTAATTTAATCATGTAATAAAACTATCTTGTGCTGAAGCTAAAGAGTTTTCTAGTATCATTATAAACTTTCAATACCATAAAATGAAGATCCTGTAGTTTAGAAAAAACTATGGTGTTTTCAATACTTATACACACACACACATATGTATTTATTTATATGCATATATGCAGATTTTTAACGTGATATTAGTTATTTATAACCTGTGCGCGATCGTTATATACTGTGGTGACGCACGTCTTTCGAGTCCTGCACTGAAATCGTGGCACGTTTTAACGATTCCAGGGGAACATTGTCGTTTACATTTGTCACTTGGGGGCTGGTGGGGGATTTCATTTGGGGGGGGGGGGGAGGTATCAGACCCTCGTATTCGCTCCCATTTTGCGCTATTGTTGTGACTCCTATACTTCACACGGAGCCGAGCTGCAGTGGCAGCAAAATGCAGTGTTGCAGTGTAATCTGAGAGTCGCTAATTGAGACTTTAACTGCTCCGGGTTCCTGCAGGAAAAACCATTATAGAGCGGCCAGTGGACGGGGGAGAAAGTGCGACGACATGGCAGTGACTGAACATCTGCTGTTTTCTCGCCTCCCAACTTTAAATACAGTTTAATTATTTTTATTTTTTTTTTACAACGGAGTTGGATTTGTTTCTATTCGCCTGAAGAAAACTAGACGATATTGTTATCCGTGTTTGTCAGAAGGAAAGAAGAAATCACATGTTCGGTTTATGAACTTTACGGTGGTTTTTGAAAATTTTCCTCTAAGCATCTTCCAGTTCATAATGGAAGTCAGGACGCCAGTCGGCATGGTGTTCTGCAAATTCTAGGAGTGGGACATACTGTATTATTTACATGGGAGTTGCATCTATCTGCCGACTTGGATGGGATATCGGAGATTCTTTCAATTTTGTATTAAAATAAGAACTCAACATAACGAGGTGAGTAGAAAGGTAATGAATAACATTGTGGTAGTGTATATAATAATCTGCCGTGTATTAGATTCACATTTGTTTTATTGTTAATTTAAGCATTTATTTATTTTTAAACAGTAATGCACATGTATGTAAGATAACGACAGGCAGAACTGTTGGCCGATAAAGGAGTCATTTTAGAGTGAATGAGGAAACGGCAGTCTATTCCTATTAAATATAATCAATTGAAAACCCTAATTTCAAGCAAAAAACTTAAGCCTATAAATTTTAGTATGTACCTAATTAAATGTTTAATGCGTCATAAATTGCACTTTGGGTACGATTAAAGAACTTCCACTCGATTTATTCTGAAGAGTGTTGGATGCGCTAATTCAATAAGGACGTGAAACGACGCAGTCTGAGCCGGACCGCCGGCGAACCCGCTGTAACCGCGAATAAACCGAGAATACAGCGCTTTGATTTCTAATAGAAGCGTTTGTTCTGCAATCCTGTCCATAAGGACCGAGGTGACGGGGCTGCCTGTTAGCTGATCCGAATTACAGAAACAGCAGCGACTGTTTGCTATAACCAGTGCACAGGTGGTCTATATTTCAGAATACATACTTTTTTCACATACACATGTAGTTTATAGATTTTAAACCATCCATCCTAGAATAAAAACTAAAAGGCTACGTAATTTTTTTAACATAGTCATACGTGACAGGTTATTTATAGTTGAGTGACACTAATGCTGTTTTCCCATCACATTATGGATGAGAACAGAAAACGAGCGCTGAGAAAACTGAAATCTGACGTGTAATATACTTATCATTCGATCGTGGCCTACAGTTTCCAGGGCTTCAAAAGGTTTTTTTGTGATGGCCGTATTATGCAGGCAAATACACTTTCATTTAGCCACAACAGCAAGCAGTAGAGAGACATTTACACCCACCTATTCATGGTCATGTTGCTGATAGCAGAGACCGTACAATAGACACTTGACAACCAATGGATGTATGGTTCAGTATAACATATGGCATTTGTTTGTAAATGGCTATTTCGTTATTGCAAATGAGATTTGGTGGAAGAAAAAATGTTATTCATATATTTCTAATTCAGTCCTGCTATAACAGAGTAGAGAGTGTGAAATTTAGATGCTGACATAAATTATCATTAAAATGTTTTGCAGGTTTGAAGTTGCTTGACCCTTAGCAGAACTTGCTCACAAACTCAGATCTCCATTTCAAGATGATCCTTGTCTTCAAGCTTTGTCTCCTCATCATTTTTGCTGATGAAGTAGTGGCCAAGGAGGATGCAGTGACAGGTATACGAGGCTCTGTGACAGCCGCATTCAATTACGGCCGTGGGATTCTGTACACAACAACAAATGTGATGATATCTGTACACAAATCAGCAGGATGTTTTAGGTTCTGCATTTCATGCAGTCATCATTTGCCCCCTGCATTGGGAATGTTTGTACCTCTTGGCTTTTTGGGTGTACAGTTAGACGTAAGCCAAGCTTTATTTCACTGGGGAATGCTGGAATGAAGCTTCATGAGGAATGCACGGCAACAGGAACTAGGAGTGATGTAATCTGTTTAGGAGAAACCTTCTGCCCGTCTTTCGTGCTGTACTCGATCCCACCTAAGCCCCCAGGCTCGGAAATGTAAATCTGCTTGGACACATGCCAGTAGAGGGGGAGGCCGTATCTGATGGGGGTAGGGGGCTCACATTGATACTGTACAAATGGATGCCGATATCTACTCCTTACCAGCCTCAAGGGTCTGTCTCTTACTCAGGAAAATTACTGTGACTTTCTGTGTATTAAACAACCTTCGAACACGCTCTGAAACACATCTAAGTATATTTTACGGACTTTGTTATTTTCTGAGATGTATATATCTGTCACGGCATGCTCTTTAAGTAAATCTTGCTATAGCCGAATGCACATCGACTGCATTTGACTGCATTTAGTTCATGGGCCTCCACAATGTCATTTTTTTGACATATTGTGTACCCCTGTTCTACACTGTATAAGGGGTGGCCATTTTTATGAATCATTTGTTCTCTTAGAATATTTTTGATATTTAGGTAGCTAGGTTAGATGAAAGAGGTATAGTGAAATATATATATATATATATATACACACACACACGCGTGCACACGTGTGTGTGTGTGTGTGTGGTTGTGTGTGTTTAATGCTACATAGAAATGCATCTCATATAAATACATTTAGCAGAGACAATGAGAATAACACAATGGGTGTGTTACATTTCTAGTCAGATTTGTCTTTTGTTTTAATTTTGCCTCAGTATGCATGAGCAGAGAATTTTTACAGGCAATGTAGAGAAGAAGTAAGGAGCATGTGCTGATTACAGCGCATTACCACATCCACCACACGACAAACCACCTCAGGGATGAGCGCCTGAGCTCAGCCGGTGATGCCTAACCTAGGCAGGCCTAAGTCACAGTCAAACACGGTTCTTAAAAATCATGTGCTTGTTTTATTGGCTTATCCAGTGTAGACATTACATATGCTACTTTGCTTGGTTTTCTATGAACACCCTGAAGAAACATTCTTGTTCATGCAGACTCTGGAAACACAGGATGTACTGTAAAATAAACGACATAAAGAAAAGTGCTTGTGGCAATAAATGCCCTTAAGTAAATGGGAGGAATCTGTTTCCTTGCCTTTCTTTTAAGCTAAACTCCAAAAAGGAAAAAGAGCATTTAATAGAAGAGGAACAGATTGGCTTTCATATGAATACTCACAGGAAGCAATTAGTGAAGAAACTGACCAAGGAGCCAGTATGTGAAATATTTACATGTCATTGCCTTTTTTCCCCAGAATTTACATTTTCACGGTCCCTCCTTCAGCCAGGATACCCCAAAAATGCCACTGTGTCAGTAGGAGGGGAGGTGAAACTCATCTGCAAAGTCCAAAAGCGATTATCAGCTTATGTGCAGTGGTTCAAGCAAGACGCTGGTCACCTGAATGCTGATGGTCATTCTCACCTCAGGGCATTGACTGTAAGTGAGAACTTCAGAGATGGTCTGTGCTTGATGTTTCATTTTCTGTTATCGGTACCATCAACGTTAAAGTGGCTATTTATGCTGATCACGAACGATGCTTTTCTTTCAGACACCTCTCGGAAGCCTCACCCAAGGTTCCGTTCTCCCTCTGACAAACATCACTCTTGAAGATGCAGGCGAATATGTGTGCAAAGCTGAGAATTCTGAAGGCCGGTCCTTCCGGTCGGCTTGGATCGAGGTCCTACCAGGTGAGGTTCCGTGTTTTTTGGATTGACAGTTGTTTTCCAGCCCATTACAGTAGGTCTATGTAGCTCCACCAAACATTTTACTACAGCTGGAAAAATGTTATAAACACCACAAACTTTCCACTTATGGAGCAAAATCCCAAGACAAGGGACTTCTTCCCTGAGTATGCTGAATAATTTCCTTTCTCCTGGCTTCAGCACTTCCTTCATACCAGCCAGTTCTGCAGGAGGGTCTGCCAGCTAATACCACGGCTGTGTTGGGCAGTGACGTGCGGATTTACTGCAAAGTCAGTGGAGCTTCGCAGAGTGACATGCTGATCCGCATGCAGTGGCTAAAGCATACTGGACAGAATGGCAGCCAGTACAGGCTTGATGGTTTCCCCTATGGGCGAGTTATAAAGGTAAGATATAAAGATGCCTCTTATTCTCTGTTTATTCTCTGTAGCTTTCTGTAACTATTCTCTCTTCTGTTTATTGTTTGTAGAATGGCACTATCAAAATATCAGACATGGAGATTCTTTATCTATCCAACGTAACTGCCAAAGACAGCGGGGAATACACATGTCTAGCAGAAAACTCTTTTGGATTCTCTTATCAGTCAGCATGGTTGACTGTCCTGACAGGTACACCTGCTATACTGTATGTGTTTCTAAGGCATTTACAATGACAGGGTTGCCCATATTTTCCTACCTGTGACATGTAACCACATATGAATGAATGAATGAATGAATGAATGTTACATTTATATAGTGCTATTCTCAAGACCCCCCCAAAGCACTTTACAGAAGTAATGGGGAGCCACTTCATCCACCCCCACTGTGCAGCCCCCACCTGGATGATGCGACGGCAGCCATTCTGCACCAGTACGCTCACCACACAGTAGCTAAGGTGGTGAAGGGGCAGGGGAGGATTCACCAGTGAGATACAGGGGAGGATTCACCAGTGAGATACAGGGGAGGATTCACCAGTGGGATACAGGGGAGGATTCACCAGTGAGATACAGGGGAGGATTCACCAGTGAGATACAGGGGAGGATTCACCAGTGGGATACAGGGGAGGATTCACCAGTGAGATACAGGGGAGGATTCACCAGTGAGATACAGGGGAGGATTCACCAGTGAGATACAGGAGATGATTAGGAGGCCAGATCTGATAGGACCACAGTGGGCACCTTTGCACTTTGTATGTTAGAGAAGACATTTGGAAATTTTGAAATGCCTGATATAAGTGTCCAAGGTGAACATCATACATACAGTTATTTCTGGTATATTTCAGAGCAATTATCTGGAGCAGCCGGGCCTTCAGAACGGAAGTCAGAAGGTAAGGTCTAGAAGTGGACTTTGAGGTGAAAGATTTCATAGTGTGTAAAAGGCTACGAACCTCCAGTGTGTCTCCATGGCCTGAGACGACTTAGGCTTCAGCATCTGGCCATTGGCTGTCCGGGAAATCCGCTCCAGTTTCTGGTGCGAAACCCCAGCTTCTGTCACGCTATGACATTTTCATTACTGTCTTTGTCAGCCTGCCATGCAGGCTGTGTGGCTCATTATCAATACCACAATAGCCGAAGGCCAAACGGGGGGGGGGAATTGGTGTCCAGAATCACCATAGGAACCCCTGTTGGCTTGTCACGTGAAATAAGTCAAGGAATGATTCAAAATGTGACAGTGGGGGAAGCGCAGCCTTCTGTTTAAGTGTGTAGAGTTGCCATACTGGAAAGACGCTGACGCCACTCTTCGCATGGCTAAGATGCATCAGAGACAGAGGAGGCTGTGGAGCACTTGCTGCTGGAGCCAGGCGATATCCTCAAGCTGCACTGTGATGGAAACCGTACAGGGAACGTCTGCTGGCACAAGGACAGCAATCGCATGCGGCAGAGCGCCAACGTGCTCTTCAGTCCTGCCGCCATAGAGATCACAGACGTAACCTACGAAGACTCTGGATTGTACGTGTGTCTGCTGTGTGGCACGGGAGAGAAGCTTCGCAGCTTCAGAATCACTGTGGGTAAGTCTAACAGCATGTCTGACAATGGAGATTACAAAGTATTCATTCATCCATCTATTCATTTACATTTATTCATTTAGCTGATATTTTTATCCAAAGAGACTTATGGTTGAGGGTAGGCTTATAATTCATGTTTGCTCACGGGAATTTCAACCCTTAACCGTCGCTTGGGTAGCACCGTGATTCGATAAAAGTCTGTTTTTTTCATATGATCTAGACTCACTAGGATCAGGGGATGAAGAAACTGATGATGACATGGTTGATGAAGAAGACAATGGTCAGGAAGATGCAGATTCCGAAACAGACGATGAAGAAGTCTACTTCACACGAGGTCTGTTGGCACACAATTCTGTTACTCTTTGCATCTTATGCCGGCCTCATTTAACATAATATTCGATGTCAAACGCTGCATTAGGACCTTACTGGACACATGTCCAGCGCATGGAGAAGAAGCTGTACGCAGTCCCTGCTGGAAACACAGTGAAATTCCGATGTCCCGCCATGGGCAGTCCGCTTCCGACCATTCGCTGGCTGAGGAATGGGCGTGATTTCAGAGGCGAGCACCGGATTGGCGGCATTAAGGTAAGCTATTTGTTTTTTTCCTTCTTTTTTGGTGGGTGTCTTTCAGCAGAAGCCCTAATTGCTGCTATACCCTGGACATGCTTGAACGGTTAACAATAGTTTCGATAGGCCCAGGACCAAATGCAAGAATGGCACTGAATGGCTATGAACAAATATCTTCATTATACCAAAAATTTGATTGCAATGGAAGCTGCGTAAGACTTGTGAAGCTAATACACTATATGGACAAAAGTATTTGGACACCAGCCTGTCCAGCATGTCACTGACTCAAAGGGTATTAATATGAAGCCCGCTAACCCATAAGTTCTAAAATAGCCTGTACTCTTCTGGGAAGACCTTCCATTAGATGCTGGGACATTGCTGGTGGGATCTGCTGCCATTCCGGTTGGGTATTGATGCTGGGTGATTAGGTCCCTCTCTATGAGCTTGTGTGGCCCCCACCTCGCAGCTGAACTTGCTCCCAGATGTTTCCACTTCACAGTCACTTCACTCACTGTTGACCAGGGCAGCTCCAGCAGAACAGAAATGTGGAGAAGCGACTTGTTGGAAAGGTGTCCAATGCTGACTAATGACGGTGCTGGGCTGGCTAACCTCTTCTGTATGACCCCCCCCCAAGCTGCTGTCATTGTTTGAGGCTGCAGGTTGCATGTCTGTGTGTTTAATTACACACCTGCATGTCAGCAGTGGGTGTGGCTTATGTGGCTACTTCCTGTAATTACTACAGGTGTCCCGATACTTTTGTATATATAGTGTGTGTCATGTCGTGTATATTCATATAATACCTCTGGTACCCCTTTACAATAAGGTTCCCTTTTTCCCACTTATACATTTTAATAAGTCATTAATAAAAAGAAATCTGTGTTATAACTTATAAACACATTATAACGTATAACATTATAACAATAATGTGTTTATTATTATCCATTAATGATTTACAAAGTGTTTCAACCTAATTAATAACTGGATTATAAACCATTTACACGGGTAGTCTTATTGTAAAATGGTAGCCTCTTAATGTGTGAGAATAACAGATTGTTTTAGACACTGGGATTTATTTCAGTGTTGATCTTCCAACAGCTGCGGCACCAGCACTGGAGCCTGGTAATGGAGAGCGTGGTGCCGTCGGACCGAGGGAACTACACCTGCCTAGTGGAGAACATGTACGGCGCCATTTCACACAGCTACATCCTGGACGTTTTGGGTACGGCAGCATCTTTGGCCTCTTGTTACATCCAAAAAGAATGCAAACCACATGCAAGACACAAGGCATAGTGCATCCCTACATGCGTTTGCTGACCATAATTAAAAGTTTGATTTATTTATTTAGTATTATTTATAAATATTTTTAGCATTTTTACCCTCAGCTGGAACAGAGGACACCTTTCCTATATATTTGAATGTCTTTATAAATGTGCGAGTTAGTGAATCAGGAACAGCAGACATTGCAGCATTTTGGATAGATCAGCCCTGGAATCAGGTTCCTGCCCATAAAGGTCCATAATTATGGGTCACCGCAGCACCTGAACAGTGCTGGCTTCTGTCGCTACCAGCGGGAGCGGGAATGGCTGACAGAGGACAACTTCAAAGGAACTGTTACCGTTTGTCGTCCACAGCACTGGACACGCTGCTTATCTGCTTAATCTGATTAAGACTCATAATTATCGTTGTGTGTTTATTAGTATAAGGACAAACAGTACGGATGTTCATAATTACAGTACCCTTGAATTTTTGCATGCAATGTAAAAATGTGTTTGGAAGCTTCCCAAAGGCAGATATTTACGGCACATTTCCCTTAGCACCTCTATTACGCTACATACACTGTTTCGGGGCAGAAGGGTCGCTTCGTCTGAAAACACGTGCTGGTCTGTTTGTTTGTTTATTAATTGGATGTTTTATTGTTACTAATGTGTCTATTGTTTTGATGTGACATTGGATAGGATGCACCTTTAAATTCCGTTGCTGTGGAAACAACAATGACAATAAAGCATCTGAATGTGAATGTGAATGTATTCCCTTGGCCATTCATACTGTTCCAGATGAGAGGGCTGTTTCGCTTAGTCTGATGGCACGTGTGGCCTCTCTTGGTCACGGACACTGTTGTGGGACGGAGACTTCATGGAAGGCGTCTGTTCTCTTTTCTGGTTGCAGAGCGCTCTCCGCACCGTCCCATCCTGCAGGCCGGCCTGCCAGCCAACACCACTGCGGCAGTGGGCAGCAACGTGCAGTTTTACTGCAAAGTTTACAGTGATGCACAGCCTCATATTCAGTGGCTAAAGCACATTGAGAGAAACGGCAGTCGATATGGCCCTGATGGCATCCCCTATGTCCAGATCTTGAAGGTAAGTGAAACTTACTTGTAAAATGCCCATATCTGTCATTCATTTCATCCATCCATCTATATGTTTTCTGTAGCCGCTTATCTGACTCAGGGGTGGGTGGGGGGCTATGGGAGCAAAAGCTGGGAATAACATAGGATGGTACATCAACCCATCTCAGGGCATACTCACACACCATTCACACGCACGAGCACGCCTCATTTACCATAAAATATTGACTTGTAGGTGAATGGTGTGTGAGTGAATGGTGTGTGAGTGAATGGTGTGTGAGTGAATGGTGTGTGCGTGAATGGTGTGTGAGTGAATGGTGTGTGAGTGAATGGTGTGTGAGTGAATGGTGTGTGCGTGTGCCCTATGAAGGGTTGGCGCCCCATCCTGGGTTGTTCTCTGCCTTTTGCCTGGTTTCAGAAAACGGATGGATGGATGGATGACATTGACCTTAATCTCTTGGTGGTTCTTCATAGAGTGGCAGCCTGAACATGTCGGACGTTGAGGTTCTCTACCTGACTAACATCACCATGGAGGACGCTGGCGAGTACACCTGTTTGGCCGGGAACTCTATCGGATATTCTTATCAGTCTGCATGGCTCACTGTTCTACCAGGTATAGTTTGTCCCTCCTGCCAACACTTTCTAGAAGACAGCACCACTATCAGATGATGAGATGTTCTGAACAACAGTTACATTTTTCTGCAAGAAGTTCTTGTGTGTTTCTTTAACAGAAGACGAGCTAATCGGACAGGTGGATTCGGACGAGACCAAGTATACCGACATTATCATATATGCCTCAGGGTCGCTGGCTCTGGTGATGACGATTATTATCATCATACTGTGCCGCATGCAGGCAAATTCCAACAGGGAGCATTTTGAAGCTCTCCCCGTACAAAAACTCTCCAAATTTCCCTTAGGCAGACAGGTGAGAAGAACTTCAATAACGCCGTAAAAATTTGGAGACATGATGTTGTCAGGCTTCAAAAGACTCTTCTGAGAAGGATCAATAACCATAATCTGGGGTTTGTCGTTTGTCTTTTCAGTACTCAGTGGACTCAGACTCGTCAGCGAAGTCCAGTGCCTCTCTTATGCGTGTGGCTCGACTCTCCTCGAGCTGCTCTCCCGTACTGGCCGGAGTCATGGAATTTGAACTGCCTTTTGACCCAAACTGGGAGTTCAGCCGAGAGAGGTAAGATTGGCTGCATCACCCGCAATTATTCATGTACCCACCACGCTCCTGTCATCGCTGCCAGATTATCAAGAGATTAGTAACTGAATGCATGAAATGTTAACACGCTTTTGAATAATACTGACGCTACTTAAATGGTATTCTTATCAGTTTAACCCTTGGGAAGCCACTGGGAGAAGGTTGCTTTGGACAGGTGGTAAAGGCAGAGGCGTATGGAATAAACAAGAACAGTCCAGGCCAGTCAACCGCTGTAGCAGTTAAGATGCTCAAAGGTACATGGGTCACACCTAAGGTTGAGTTGCACAGAATCACGAAAGAAGTCGTTGCCCTACCACCCCCCCACTGATCACAATGCGTGCCCTCATCTCCGTGCTTAGATGACGCCACTGACAAAGATCTTGCGGACCTGATCTCCGAGATGGAGTTGATGAAGGGGATGGACAAGCACAAGAACATCATTAACCTGCTGGGCGTATGTACCAAGGATGGTAAGCACCCTCAGCGCTCTGCTTGCAGTGTTCACTCCATCTGGATTCTTTGCTTCTGATTTTGCTGAGGTATCTCCTCTGGTGTGAGTAATAGTAGCTATGAAATCTGCACAGGCCCCCTTTATGTCCTGGTGGAATATGCTTCCAAGGGTAACCTTCGGGAGTTCTTGCGGGCACGCAGACCGCCTGGCATGGACTACACCTTTGATATGACCAAGGTGCCCGAGGAGCAGCTGACCTTCAAGGACCTACTCTCCTGTGCCTACCAGGTGGCACGGGGTATGGAATACCTGGCCTCCAATAGGGTGAGTGTCCCGGCAGTCTTCCTCCAGCCTGGTGTCATTCAGCAGCTCTCACTGTCACCAGATGCTTGCGCTGGGAATTCCACCAATGAGTGTTTACAGCTGCCTCCAAGCTGGCTCTGCTGGGCTTTTTAAAGAAGCGTCGTAAATCCATTAGTGAAGCTTGGAGCCCAGCTGGCCCGGGAGGGAACGTTCCCCGTCCGACCGGAATCTCGGCCAATGCCTGCCACAAACCAGCGGATTCATTTCTCTGTATCCCAATACTGCTGCTATTTAAAATGGAGACCAAAATAAACTTAATGACAACCATTCAGCCTGTTAACAGTTTTTTCTTGTTGTTTTTTTATTACCGCAAGATCACACTAAGATAAAATGTGCCTGCTAAATGAGCATTTGAAATCCCTTTTTTTCTAAGTGAACTTTTAATTTGTTTGCCTTAAATTTTCAGACTACCAGTTTATAAATTAACCCTCTGTTAAGAAATTTTAGTTTCAGGCATGTTGACTTATTATTTAATAATGGAAACTGACTTAAAAACTAAGATGATAATTCTTGTAAAAAAGACGTGATGATTTTGTGAACTCCCCTTTAGAGGGGACACAAATAATGTAGTAAACATTTACTTAATGTTTTAATTAACCAGTAACTAAGTGTTGGCTACATACTGATCCATGCTTGCTCATCATTAATCAATCATTATGGTTCATGTTTTCCATTCAGGAACTATATTAGTTAAGTTAAATAATAAGCTAATAACTAACCAATATAGTTCCTGCATGGAATAGATGAACTGTCATAATTGATTAATGATGAAAATGAGTTACTGGTTAATTAATGCATTAAGTAAGTATGTACTACTACATTATCTGTGTCCCTTCAAATAAAATGTTACCATTCCCTTCTATGTATTTCCTAAGTTTCATGTATATAAGTGTTATGTCTAATAAGAAGTGTTTTTCCAAAAGTGCATCCACAGGGATTTAGCAGCCAGAAATGTTCTGGTGACTGAAGACAATGTGATGAAGATTGCGGACTTTGGGCTGGCCAGAGGAGTGCACCAAATTGACTATTACAAGAAAACCACCAATGTGAGTATAGCAGGGCGACACCTCCAGGGGGCGTCACTGTGTCCAGAGAAGCATGTGAACATCATTAGCCTTCATGTACTTTCTTCAGTCGCGCGAATTGTAATTGCTGTCTTATTTACTTTTTAATGACACTCCCCTGACTGACAGGCAGGCTAATGGGTGTAATTGGGGAGGGTAGTGGGGAATAGATGAAAGTTAACCGCTGCTACATCTGTGCGATCCCCATCTGTCCACGCTTTTGTATGGTCAGGGGCGTCTCCCAGTGAAATGGATGGCACCAGAGGCCCTCTTTGACAGAGTCTACACGCATCAGAGTGACGTGTAAGTGTAACTAAGAAAGGTCCTGGTTAGACCTTTGACCAAGCAGACGTACCACACGCATTCATTTTGGAACATGATAATATCTGACTTGGTTCCTATTTGGTAAAGCACATGTAAAAGGTAAATCACATGTAAGAGGTAAATCACATGTAAAAGGTAAAGCACATGTAAAATGTAAATCACATGTAAAATCTGCAGCCTGTGCTTTCAGTACACAGCATGTGCCTCTGGTCTCCACCTGCTGTCATCCTGAAGTGTGGATCTTCTCATTGGTCTCCCTTGTCTGCTGTACCACTTAGCTGGTCTTTTGGAGTCTTGATGTGGGAGATCTTCACCCTGGGAGGATCCCCTTACCCAGGGATTCCAGTGGAGGAGCTCTTTAAGCTGCTGAGGGAAGGCCATCGTATGGACAAGCCCTCCAACTGCACGCATGAGCTGTGAGTAGTGGCTGGAGCCCCCCCGCCCCCCGCACACACATGCAGTGCACAAAGCCCCACCACACTGCAAGTCTGTGAATGTGAATGGTAGTAACTCCAGTAGGATATTGATGTTTTTATATGTGGCCCTTAGGTATAGTCTGGTATAAACATTACCTTGTCAAAAAACAAAGCCAATTAAACTGAACCCATGTGGTCCCTTTTATGAAGATTTCTAAGCAGTATTAAATTGACTATTAAATGTATTCCCATATTTAATTGCATTACTAAATGCTGTAATATTGAATGTTGATAAAATTTCAAGAGAACTGTTGGTGAATTGCTATAAATGTCTTTATAGAAAGTGGTGTCTTTCAAGCATCATTTGTGTCAAGTTTTATGCTAACATTATGGAATCCATCCATTACTAAGGATCCTCTCCTCAAACAAATCCATTTTCTAGATGGAGCCTATGGGCACAAGGCAGGGAACAACCCAGAATGGGGTGCCAACCCATTGCAGGGCACACTCACACTCACACTCACACTCACACACCAGTCACTCACACATATGCACCCATAGACAATTTGGTAACTGCAATTCACCTCAGCATGTTGTTGGACTATGGTGGGAACCTAACATATCTGGCAACCGCAAAGGGAGAACATGCAAACTGCACACCCTGGTTCCAGAGGTGTGAAGCGACAGAAGTAGCCACTGTGTCCCCCCATCAAATGCATATCATTGAAATTGTAGTGTAAGGGGTCCAAACAATTATAATCAAAGCACCAAAAGGTAACAAGGATGGCCTGATCGAATTTCATGTGTTTTCGTATGCTGCATGAAAATGCTGACTGGATGGGTCTTCATCTCGCAGGTACGTGATGATGAGGGAGTGCTGGCATGCTGTCCCAAGCCAGAGACCCACCTTCAAGCAGCTGGTGGAAGAGCTGGACCGAGTGCTACTGTCCGTCTCCAACGAGGTGGGTCTCGTTCCTCAGAACTACGGGCTGCACACGTGCCACTCTGCTGGCACCTGGAATCATTTTGGAGCTGTACACAGTAAATGACCACTTCATCAGGCAGGGGTGCAATGGTGCTAAACTGGTATTTCTTCCTTCTTCCCCCTAGTATCTGGACCTATCAACGCCATTCGAGCAATACTCCCCTTCTTGTGAGGACACTTCTAGCATATGCTCTTCGGACAACGATTCGGTATTTACCCACGATGCCCAGTCCACCGACCCCTGCCTACCCCAGCAGACTCTTCACTGCCAGACAGGGACCTGAAGGAGCCAAAGTTTCAAAGACCCCTGAGTGCAGCCACAGAAGGACAGTCATCCTTGGCACTGTCTTTGAAAACATTATGTCCAAACTTGGCTGGGACACCTGGCCGTTTTCTGCCTTGTATTCATTGGCATCCCTCACAATATTTTGCTAAATATTCTGTTAGGGTGTAGGCTGCTGTAGACAAAAATGTGGACATGCCTAAAGATTAGTCACATGCCAACCAGTATAAGTCAATGGAGAAACACCAGTTTGAGTAAATGGAGCTGGATCTGTATGTGGCCATTAGATAAAGACAAAGAGAGAGTTAATTTTCATACATAAGCATAAGATTATAGTATTGTCAAATGTAAAATATATATTTTACATTTCAGTATTAAAAAAACGGTCTTGGTACCCTGTCTTACATTGTCTGTCTGGCAGCTGAGTACTTCACCTACTGCGACTATATTAAATACTTAAATACTGTGTGTACATATTTCAAGAAAAACAAAAGTTACCCTTTATAAATTATTTTTGGATTGATGTAATATTAAATTATTTTTTAAGAGGAAAATAAATTAAATTCTGACCCCATTATTTTAGAACTTTATGGAAGCATATTCCTTTTCCTAAGAAAATAACTTCCAAATGCTGCTTGAAATATCAAAATGCTTCTGAAAGTTTCCTGTTCTTATTTCTTGTTGAGTAAAACGTTACATTTAAGCTTCCAGTAGCTACTGTGGCTGCTGAATGATAAAGGGACAGATTGGAACTGAAGAACTTGGATACTTTGATTAAGAATCTGAATCACCTTCTGCTCTCTGTAACCTTTTAACTGGCAACCTTTGCATCGAGGGGACAGATCGAGGCCGGGCTGAGCTGCTGCTCTAGCAGGCTGTGATGGATGCAACCGCCTGCACTTGTGTGCAAATTAAGTGGCCTTATTATGGTAATAGGTTTTGTTGCCGTGCCTACTCTCAGACTCATCTTTAAATATACAGATGCTAATTCTGTCTGCTAGGGGAACTCTGACATTCAGAAATCGCCCCCAGGGAGAGAGCTTTCCTCCAGGGAAGATAAGGGTATAGAGTTCTATCAAGTGATTCAGTAATGGTTGTCTGTCTGAGTCATTATCATGTCTTTCGTCAGTGATGATATATTTTTAAGGCCAAGGCTGGTGCCTGAAAAGCTTTTCCAAAGCCACCTGGGGAAGGGGTCTGGACAGGGAGTGGGGGTGAGTTTTCAGGAGAGTGGTACCCCTCTTGGTGGGGCGTGAAATGGCTTGTGTGTCTCAGTTTTTATTTGGGGTCAGATTTGATTATACATGCTTTGTTCAAAATACACCGCAAATACTTATCCCAAAGCGAAGACCGTCAGTCCATTAAATGTTTTGCCAAACTCAAAATAATCAGCCTCACTTTTGCAGAACCGAAGGCATAATTAATGTATCAAATTTGTGAATGAAACAAATAAATGTAACGTTCGACATTCCATGATTGTATTTTCATAACTTGTGTAACAATTTCAGTATTCCACAATGTTTGTTCTCAGATTTTAAGGTAATTATTTTAGACATGAAATTAAGTTATTTTTGTTTTTATATATGAAATAAAGTATTATATAAATAATTTTTGGCTATTGTCTATTTTGCTATGCAGTACAGATATACTGAGAAATAGCTATTTGTATCAAAGTTATTTTCTAATAACCTTATATGTGGGATTTTAGCAATAGTTTACTTATAAGTTCATAACAATAACACTTGGGATCTGAGTTTAGTGCTTATCTACTACAGTATTTTCCTTTTCAGCTCTAAATATGTGGAAATGATTAGTTGTCGAATACTTTCCCTCGTTATCTCCTGCATAAACTATTTTTTTCTAGTGTCACACACATTGAGGAATTCAGCATAACTCTCACACATCACGGTGCCCCTTTCCTTGGCCTTCCAGCTGATACTGATTAGGAGCCTCCAGGATGCATCCTTCCACCACATGAGAGTAGACAAGACTTTCCAAATGGGCTGCTCTTCTCAGCCTGTGTCGTTATGAGCTGCACATCATGTGTTTGTTCGAGGGTTAAACATTCCACACTTCTGTGTATCAGTGGTCTGTACAGTGGTCTGTACATTCCTCAAAACAGTAACATGACAGAGAATCACCTAAACAGTACTTGCATTTTCTGCGAACACACATTAACGCACATTCTCTGTAGGTCCTATACATACAGTCAGACGTGCCCCCCCTCCCCCTCACATTCCCACTTCCCAGAAATTAATACACCTAAGGGGGATTTCTATATTAGTCAAAAAAGCTAACAGACTTTGAAGCTGTGTTTTATGGAAGTGCTCCCAAAACTGCGGCAGTACAGTGGTGCAGTGGTTGGCACTGTCATCTCACCTGTGGGACCAGGGTGTGAGTCTCTGCTGTGGTTCTGTGTGTGGAGTTTGCATGTTCTCCCCGTGTCGTCATGACGTTTCCTCCGGGTACCCTCCCCCCTCCAAAAACATGTTGAGGTGAACTGGAGTTACCAAATTGCCTGTTGATATGTGAGTGTGCCCAGTGATGGCACCCCACCCTCGATTGTTCCCTGCTTTGTGCCTGTGGCCTCTGAAATAAGCTCCGGACCCCCCCGTGACCTTGAATAGGAGAACCGGTTACAGAAAATGGATGGGCTCTCACAACATCTCAGGTTTTGCAGTAAATATTTTACAAAGCCTGCATTACCAGTCAAGTAAGCCTGTGTTGACTAAACATCTACCAGCAAAACAACAACCACATTCTCCTCAGCTGTTATGTATAGGTAGGCTGTATCAGTGTTGAACATTCTGGTATACTGGGCTGGGGCGAGGTACAATCATTCGGAGACATGGGTTCACTTCGCCATCTTTATTCCTGAACAAAGATGTACAAAGTGCGTCTACTACAACAGCTCAGCTGGGACACACAGCTTGCAGCATTAACAAAACTACTAGCATGAATTCAATACATCACAAACCTATTTCATAATTGTTCTCTGGTTTAAGTAAAGTTATTGACAGTGCATCCATTTTTATCCTCATTAACCAAGGCTCACATTCCTCAATCAGTGATGTAGAGAGGACAGAATGTCTTCAGGGCCAGTGTTTGTCCTTCAGCTGAGGACGACCCATCTTTTCCGTTAAGGACACACTGTCCTTCAGCACTGTAGACTGATGGAACTGATAGAGAGGACAAGTCAGCATGTGGAACTTCCCTTGTGGCTTTTGTGGCCCCAGCACAGAATACATTTATGTTCCTTTTGTTGTTTTTTATGGTCTGGACATGTTCAGCAGAGCAGGAAGTGAGTAGTTAGAGGTGGCATTGATTCATGGTGATGGTTATCCAGCACTTGATAGTTCTATTTCTGTATGATTCATGTTTGCAGAGTTAACAGTATGAAAACTATTGACTGACTGGTTTGACTCATAACTATTTGGTGCTGATTGTGCAGGGCTGGTTTCCTATGATTTAGCAATGCTGTGGTCTATGGAACCTCACCAACACTTGCAGTGACTGATTCTAAGATGATTGCAGTGTTGTATGGGTCTGTCAGGTGTCGGTTTGTCTCAGTGTCTCTAGCTGCATTTCTGGACCTCTGTCAAAGCACATGAACGTGTCAGCCACTGCAGGTGACTGCATATTTCAACCAAAATGGATGGAATCAACCTTGTTTCAGGAATGCAGTGTCATGTAAACAGTTATCACCACTGTGATCACCGTTTCAGTGCACCACCTATGTAGGGTCCCTCAGGCGGACTTTTTAGTTTGTTCTGATCCCAGCCATTGTCCACCATTGGCTGACATACATATGGCACTGCGGGATTGGTCAGCAGGACTAATTATGCAGTTACCAGCATGCTTTGCATTACACTGCAAGTATCTGTATCTGTAAATAGTGTAAATTAATATGGGTATTTATTCTGTAAATAGTAAATTGTTGTAAGCATGTAATGTTTGCTGTGGAATGCGTGTAGCCGTGAGTGACGTGAAAATATTTGGCTTCTCTTCTGCTGTATTACACCAGTAGTGGCTGCTGATTAAGACAGTGGCGTCCAGTTTAAAAGAGCTGTCATCTCCTTTGTTATAATGACTGACGCACTCACCACAATGTTTATTTGCGCTCTGGATGTGGATCTGCTCCATCGGAAAACATTCTGCGCCCCTCTGTGTCTGTGGCATGACAAAGAACGAAATGCTGACCACCACAGTACAGGTCATCTGGCAGCTATTCAGTCTAAAGTCAGGCTGGCCGATGAAGTGCCGAAGGGAATCATGCGGCACTGCCTAATGTGAGCAGAATCAGAATCAGAAACTTTATTGTCATTATACAAAGGTATAACGAAGATTGTATGCAGTCCCTTGCAGTACAAAAATAATAGAATATTAAAAGCAATAAAATAAAATAATTTTCTTATGTACAAAATATATAACAGAGCGGGTTATTGCAGATTGTAAGTTTAAGCAATACTGCACAGATTTAACTCGTTAAGATATTGCACAGGTTTGTGAAAGAGAGCATACCCGTTCGGTGTTCATTTACTATTGCAACAGCCCTAGGATATGCGCTGTTTCTCAGTTTGTTTGTTTCGCCATTTATTGACCTGTACCTCCTTCCTGAGGGTAACAGCTGGAACAGGTGATGTGCCGGGTGGGATGTGATGATGTGATGAGGATCACACCGTGTGCACGTGAACCTGAAGTATTTTTCATCTGATTAGCTGTAGCCTATCTGCGGCTATTGCCAGAGGCTAGATTTTTCTTTAAAGGGATTTCCCACAAAGACAGTCTACGATGGCTGAATAAGAGACAGGCTGAATAAAACACGTAACCAACTAGAATGAGAGAGATTGTGACCATCAGGGTGACATTGTTTGTATATGTGTCAAACGACGTGTCTAATCGGGAGTGACACGCATCACAATAACCTCATTAAAAAGGGGCGGGGGATGCAGAAATATAAAGCTCAATTATTCACTCCTGTCCTCGACATAAGACAGCTGTGAAATGCAAGATTTGGGACTGAATGTGAGATAGGGCTCTTAGAAGGAAAAAGTGCATTCAGTGGACAGTTTATTAGGTATATCTGCTCGCTAATGCAAACAGCCAATCATGTTGCTGTAAATGAATACATGCAGAACACAGTAAGTCAGGGTTAGGAGGTTCATTTACTGTTTGATTAAGCATTATAATGGCTAAGCTGCCTAATCCAAGTGATTTTGGAAATGGTGTGATATTTGGTACCATGCAAGGTGGTTCCATCAGTTCAGAAAGTGCTACCTTCCTGGTATTTTACATTAATTGGTGGGATGAGCAAAAACATTTGGCATTTTTGTGGCTGAAAATATACTGTTAAGGAGATAGCATGGAGGTGAATGGCTAGACTCACTAAAGCTAAGGAGATAGCTTGGAGGTGAATGGGCAGACTCACTAAAGCTAAGGAGATAGCTTGGAGGTGAATGGGCAGACTCACTAAAGCTAAGGAGATAGC